CTGTAGCGGGGGCAGAGGTGAGTCGATCGGTAAACAAACACAAATTTACTCTCTGACCACGCGAGGATAAGGGCCTTTACAACGATTTCCACCAAAAGCCAGTCTACTCTGTCATAATTCTTTAATAATGTGGCTTGGAATCACGTAAAAACTGAAATAACAATACAACGAAATATCTATAACTAACCAAAATATATCTGGACGCGAAAAATGGGGGCGTAACCCAAAATAAAATTTACAATTAGCGACTCAAAAGGTTTAAGGATAATCAGCAACATAATATGGAATACAATCAAACTACATGACGTGTGTAAATAAGGGATAGCGAAAACATACCTCTTTTTCCTATCTGAACTCTTTTAAAAACTCTAAAATAAACGTGTCTTTCACTCTTCCAAATAACTTGTCTTTCTGAGTGTACGATTGTGTTGATTGTGTAAGATAATATCTGCGTTAATAACTGTTACATAACTACGACGCAGATGTTACGCAACGAAAAGTAACGTAATTATAGCAAATCACTTACATCAGCAATAAGTGATTATATGTATATCACTATATGTATTATAGTGAACATACTAGGCGGGAAGGTGAAGGGGGGTGGAGAAGCTCTGAAGGTATGCCTCCGCGGGAAAATTGATAATTTGGTGTTTTTCAACGACTAGATTGAGCTAGAATAATGCATCTAAAACTATTATACTGTAATAAAGAGTAATGCACCAGTAAAGCCGGTAGCAACTGGATTAAGAAACCTCTGCTTGAAACTTGGCTAACTAGGCTCTTCATCCGGGGGGTGACCGGCGATACTCCCTATAATGGCCTATACGGGGAGGCTCGGCCCGAAAGGAGTACCCTTTTCATGCTTCAAGTATATGAAAGGGTAGAGATTTCATTAGTTGAAGTAAATGAAAGGATAGACAAAAGCGTCATTTCGGTCTGCAAAAAGGCCCTCAAGGACTAACAGTTAACAGATGCATTTTGTGGCTGTGAGAAAGTAGAGAAAAAGTTGGCTAGTCCTTAGGCATCATTATTCCGCGCGGCCTATGCGTTTCGAGGCCTGGAAAGACGTCATACAGGAACTAGGCAAGAGAAAACCTTTTTTTTTGTGATTTGTGGAAAGGGATGCAAAGGGTAGGGATACCGTTTGTCAACAGAAGGTATACGCACGAGAGTACCTTTTCTGTAAGAAATTATGTATATAAAAAGGTAAGTGGTTGGACCTTTGGATGGACCTCGGGGCGGTGCCTCCCCGTATAAAACTTTATTCAGTATGGCTAGCGGGGGGGAGAACATAGAGACCATAAAAAGTATCAAGTGGTCGCCTACGAGGGGTTAAAAACAATGGAAACTTATAAAACCGTCGTCGTAAAAAGTGGCCGCGGTCGCTTATGAGACCAAGGTGGTCGTTTAGGACAGGTTTGAACGATAAGGCTTTGACTGTTCAGCTTGGATCCCGGGTGGAGATGGCGTGACAGATCAGTGTCATAACCAGTTTATGAAGGGGTTACTTACGTCATTGATGGCGTTGTCATGACGTCATGACATTGAAGACCGAATGTCATTACACTTAAGAGTTTATTACAATTGACGGAAAATGTTATTAGAACTTAATTACATTTAGGGTGCAATGTCATTACGTTTTGGACTTGGTCACTCTGGCGAGAGGTGGTCGCGCATGGAGGTTTGACTATAGTGTTGAAACATAATGTAAGCCCCTGTGATCCCTCCTGAGGAAGGTTCCCCTGAAGCAAAGCCAGAGATATTAGTGGATTGATTTAACAGAGTCAATATGACGACCGTGAGGACGGTGTGCGCAAAGCTGAAAACCGACTTTATCAATGGCAGAACGGCATATTGAGCACCGAAAGTAGCGTTCAGTCCTTTCCAGCCTAGGACAAACTCTCAATCACGCAAAGATCAGAGAATATCTCGTACGTTTTCTGACAAACATCTTCAACAAACCATTGTATTAATGAAAAGTTACGATACGCTGAATCCTCTTGTGGATAATCTATCCGAAGAATCAAAAATAAAAGAGAAATAACATTTTACTTACTTCAGAAAGTTTCTGCCGTAAAGAGATACACAAATACCTCGAGTGATATTGCTGCGACAAATAGTGCATGCAACAAAACAGTGAAAAGTATATACGGGACATTTTGTCTTAAGTCTCATTTTCAAAGTGAGCTCAGATGGTCATCTTCACACACCGATTCAACTTTAACAGCCGTTAATATGAAAAGAAAAAACAGCTGACCACTTAGCCCGAGCCAAGAGCTGATAAAAGCGTTCGTGTATGCTGCGAATATATCGCCTCGACCGAGATAACCCGGCTGGGAGAGCCAACGTGTTTATGTGAGGGTCACCCTACCATCTAAAAAGGGCTACCCGGTAATAGACGGGTCATCCTTTTAGCTGATACAAGCAAAAAGTTTGTCTCTTATATAAACGGTCCGCCAAGTTTTTAAGGAAATGTAGGAAACGTTGGCTCGCTCAAGGCACGTGGGTTCGGCGAGTGACCCTTCTACCATGAACTATACATGTAAACGGAACCTTATTCTTTAATTTAAAAAGGTATGCAAACGAGGTTAATGTCGTGTTAACACATTCTTGTCCACCAATGAGGCTATCGCTTCGTTTCCATATTGGTTTATTTTTATCCTTTTTAGTATAATTTAAGGGGTTCTTTTTAATCTATGACAAGCTTACTGGTAAAATTAAATACAGTAAGTTGACAATAAAAAGCGTGGCATTGTTTTCAATAGCCGTTATTGGTTGTGGGGAGTTCTGGTGTCGTTTTCTCTCCGTCCCCCACCCCCAGAGGCCATCATAGCCCCTCCCCTCCCCTCCCAGAGAGCTTGCTGGCAGGCTCTCCATTGTAAAAAAAACAAAACAAAACAAAACAAAAGACAGGAAAAATTAGAAGAGGAAATAATATTGTACGAGAACGTATTAAGGAAATTCCGTTAAGACAAAGAAACAGATATTCAAGATCAACATAATTACCAGCTTATTTAATTACATGAAAAAGGAGAACTGTGGAGAATACTTTGCAAGTAATAATTCCAGTATCAT